TTATACCTCTCAGAATGGCTAAGATCAAATGCACTAATGACTGCCTATGTTGGAGAAAATGTGATATAAGGAGGACACTCCTCCACTTCTGGTGGAAGTGAAAACATGTACAGCCACTTTTGAAACTGATATGGTCATTGCTCAGAAAATTGAGAATCAAACTAACTCAAGACTCAGTTATACCAATCCTGGGCATATATCCAAAGAATTCTTACTCATACCATAAAAACACTTGATCAATTATGTTCATAGTAGCATTATTTATAACAGTCAGAATCTGGAAACAACATAGATGCCCCACAAGTAAAGAATGGATAAAGTAAATGTGGTACATTTACACAACAGAGTATTACTCAGTGGTAAAGCACAATGACATAGTGAAATTTATAAGCAAATAGATAGAACTAGAAAAAAGGATAATTCTGAGTAAGGTAATCTAAAACCAGAAAGACAAACACTCATAAATGGATATTAGTTGGAAAGTAAAGGATAATCAGGATGCAATTTACAACCCCAAAGAGACTAGGTAACAAAGAGTCTCCAAAAAGGATGCATGGATTTCCCTGGGAAGAGGAAGTAGAAGAGATCTTCTGGGTAAACTGGGGGCAAAGGGGGAAGCTGGATAGAGGGATGGGAACACAAAAAAATGAGGTTTGGTGGTTTGGGGGGCAGTTGGAGGGGGAGAGTAATGAAAGATATGTATTAATGGGGGCATTTGGGGATTTAGGGAGAAACCTGTTGCCAGGGAATGTGCCAGGAATTTTCAAGAATAACCTCTGCTAAAACTCCTAGATATAGTGGAGAGGGGGTCTAAACTGGCCTTATATTCAAATTGGTGGCTACCATAAGCGTCATCAAAATGCCTTCAGTAACTAATTGAAGTAGATCATGAGATCCATATTTTTATTTGTTGATGTTGTTAGTTGGGTCAAGCATTTTTAAATCTTGTTTGTCTTCTCGAAGAACTAGTTCTTACATTTGTGGATTCTTATTATTTTCTTTGCTTCTATTTCATTGATTTCTGCTCTGATTTGTATTAATTCTTGCTGTTAACTGGATTTAGATTTTTTTCTTCTTTTACCAATGATTTATGCTGCTTTATTAATCCACTTATTTGTTCTCTTTCTGTATTTTTTTTCACAAAATTAACCTTTGTTTCTTTGTCCCCTTTTATTGTCAGTCAATTCTTTTCTCACATGATATATTTTGCTTAGAGTTGTCCCTATTACTATTTACCTCACTGTTTCTCCCCTTCTCCATACTGATCCACTGATTACTGTCTCTCATAAGAAAATAATAGGCTTCTAAATGATAACAAAACATAAAATATAATAAGATAAAACGAAAGCCATCATATCAACATTGGATACGACAAATCAACAGAAGGACAAAAGCCCCAAGGGAAGGCATGAGAATCAGAGACCCACTCCTTTCCACATTCAGGAACTCAGAAACCCTCTATAATACTAAATTGAAATTTTAATATATGGTGCTGACATATGAAGGACCTGTATTTGCTGCCTCAGTCTCTGAGTTCCTATGAGCTTTGCTCATGTTGATTTAGACAACCTTGTTTTCCCAGAGTTCTCCATCTTTTCTGTATCTTTCACTCTTCTGGTTTTGGCTTACTTGATGTTCTCTAAGCTCTGAGGGGAGGAATTTGGTGGAGACATACCATTTAGTGTATTCTAAGGTCTCACTCTCGGCAAGTATTAGTATTTAGTTTTACCCTAGGTCTGTGGGCCATCTAGTCTCTGGTCTTGGTCAGTAAGCTATATTGAGCATGAGTCCCCTCTCATGGCCTTAAGGTGAAACAGATACTAGTTGGCTACTCCTGTAAGTTCTGCACCACCATTTCCCTGCTACCATATTTTACAGGGAGGATAGATTGTAGATCAAAGGTGTTGTGGCTCAATTTGCATTTCTATTTCTCTTTCAGTAGCCTGTAGATTATCTTCTCATACCAAGTACACTAGAAAATAGGAGGAAAGTTTTTATATAGGCATTAACTAGAATGAAAAATTAGGCATATAGAGTTATCTATTTCCCCCATGGGAAATTATACCTCTTATGTTTGCAACCATGGATCTACAGTTCTTTTCACAATCTCTCTGCCATGCTCATTTCTCCTACCCAAATTATTATTCCCTGTAATATACATATATATATACTCTATTATATAATATATAATATATAATATAATACATATTCTCTATAAGATTCTCTATTCACTGTTCTCCCTCCAAAGTCCCTGAAATATACTCCCTTGATTTTATCCTGGTCATGACATCATATTTTTGTTAATTGGTGTTTTATTTATATATTTACATTTTCTTAAAGAAAACTTGCTCAGTCTGTATAATTTATTTGTATGTATATATTCAAGACTGAATATGTGGTATTGAATAACCCTTTGGTGTGCTATTCCATAAGAAAGATTAATTTTTTTACTCTGAAAATTTCTTAGTTGCCTAAGTGCAGACTTGCCACCTTATGGGCTTTTCGTCATCCACTTTGACATGACTATATGTAATGTCCTTGTTCACTTCTTGTATGTGAAGGAAAGTTTGTAGAACTATGTGTGTCTGGATTTGACATTACTAGGCAGCACATTTTCATAGCAAACTTTCTAATCTTCTGGCTCTCACAGTCCTTTCACACACACACACACAAACACACACACACACACAATGTTTCTTTAATCAGAGAGATGTCTGTGTACTTTCTCATCTCATTTGTTTGAAGTATTTTGTTCTTCTTATTATTCTACAGTGCTGTCTATCTTAAAACTAAGATCCCTCTATTTTAGATAGCTGATAGATAGAGATTATAAAAAGATGTATATTGAGCCATTGTGTTTTTAATATTCGATGCTATTTGTTTTCTCAGCAATATTTTGTGTTTCATAAATAATTGCTTCATATTTCTTTCCCCTGTCTCTCTGCTATGCTCATTTCCCTTTAGTCAAAAAATAAAGCTTCCTGCGTTTTCTTTAGTTCTGATTTCTTGAATATATTTTTTAACCTGTTTATGTCAATGAAGCTTTTTATTTCTTTTTCAATATGACAGATTTGTCAGGTATATTAGCAAAGGAGAGCATCTTAGTACTTTAGGATAAGTGAAATATTGCTCCCAGCTCTTTCGATTTTTTATTGGGAAATCAACTATTATTCTGGTTGTTTTCCATTACATGTGGCCTGCATTTCCTTTTATGCTATCAAAATAGCTTGTTATTTATGCTTAATGTTTTAAATATGATTTGCCATGGAGATTTTCTTTGCTGGTCTTGTATATTTGGTTATCTGTTTACTTCTCATAGCTAATATTAGTGTGTCTTTCCTTAATTTGGGGAACTTTTTTCCTATGATCTCTTTGAGAATCTAGATTATGCCACTGAATGTGGTTTAGTCTTTATCATCCATTGCTGTCTTCAGAACTACATTGCATGTGTGATCCTTTACTATATTTTATTTTTTTCCTTTACTATATTTTAATAATAGCTTCTTATCACTTAATTAATTGATCTATATTCTCTACTTTATCTTTTACCTAACTAATTACACTTCTGTATTTTCTTTTAAGTTTTCCATTTGAGTTGCTAGGTTTTTGCATTCAATTTCAATTCACCCTGAATCCTTTTAATGTTTCTATATTCTGATGGAATTCTTCTCTCAGGTACTGAGTTATCTTATAACAATAAAAGTTAATTTATAAATTATTGTCCTATATTTTAGGCATGGATTTTATGAACTATGACATAAATAAAAGATAGCTAGAATTTGGAAAAACTTCTTCTGGCCATTTCTCTCAATTGGGACTAAATTTTGAATAAAAATTTGACTATACTTCAACAGCTAAGTTTAGGATTTCATAGAGTCCAAATGATAATTGTGCCCATGTCCTATGCTTTCATCCAAATGAACCTTATAAGTAACCAGTTCATCCTATGTTTAATACCTAATATTCATGGTATACATTTGGAACAGTTACACTTAGCTAATATTGTAATTAACTTGTTTACATGACTCTTCAACAACTGTTAAAAATTGTGGTAAAGGTCCCTCTCTTGAGAAACCAAAGAAGAAGATAAAGAAAAAATTGCAGTAAAGGCCAAGGAGAAGTTGATTGAACTACCTCTACCTAGTAAACATTAAAGGAAAAGCAATATAATGCAACTAGAAGATTTCAGAAGTTGGTGCCAATATTGAGATTGTACACTACGAATGGGTATATAATTTCACCCTCTACTATTAAGCTCATCCACTTAGGCTCTAAAAAATGGCTCTAGGATGTAATTGAGAGACATTAGTATGCTTAATCAGCTGTTGACTCAAAGTTCAACTATTATATGAGCTGTAGTTTTGTTCTTCTAGCAATTAATGTATATTTTGGGACTCAACACACAGCTTTATTGTTAGCAAATTATTTTTTTATCCCTGTCACTGAATGTCAGTATTAATATTTTGATTTTTCCTGGCATTCAAATAAAGGTACTTCCAGGGACAGGCATTTTTAATGGTAAACCATCCCAATACATAGCCCAGAGTAGTATCTGAGTATGAGGAAAAAATAAGCAAATTATTTGCATTATATTATTATGGCTGCTGCAACAAAACACAAAAAACATAGTAACACCATAGTTCTCATTCCTTGAGGTGTATTTCAGTTGAAATTAAACATTTATTCAAGTTGACAATGAAGATTAACTACCACAAGATACCAGAAGAAGAATGTGAAAACAAATAATTGAGTATACCAAAGATGGTAAAAAAATAAGTTTTACATATCAAACAACAGAATAAAAGTATTTTATTCAGACATTATGTTTCTAATATAATGTTTCTTGATTTCCAGGACAAAATGATATCCAGAATAAGAACTCAGATTTTGAACTAGTATGCTTAAAATATAACACAGTACATGCATAAGATCTGATAAGAATTTTAATATTGCATATCACAAAATATTTACTGCCATAAATATAATGATTATTTTTTCTTCTATACTATTTTTATGAATGCATTCTTGACCTCCTTGTTCCTCAGGCTGTAGACTAGAGGGTTCAACATAAGGATGATCATGATGTAAAAGACAAACACAATTTTGTCAGTGTCCATTGCATGTTGAGAGCTGGGCTGCAAATACATGAAGATGATAGTTCCATAGAAAATAGAAGCTGCAGTAAAGTGGGAGGCACACGTGGAAATAGCCTTCTGATGCCCTACTCCTGAGTGCATCTTAAACATCATTACAAAAATTATAATGTATGATACTAATATTATTATGAGAGCAAAAAAAGATATTGAAGCTGGTAGAAAAATAAGAACCAGCTCATTTATGTGTCTATCAGAGCAAGAGAGAGCCATGACTGCTGGCATATCACAGAAAAAATGATGCACCACATGGGATCCACAGAAGGAGAGACCGAATGTGTTTCCAGTATAGATACAGGCATTCAGAAAGCCACAAGCATAGCACCCTGCAATCAGCCATGTACAAATACCTGTAGTCATGTTGCTAGCATAGTGTAGGGGCTTGCACACTGCTTCATAGTGATCATAGGCCATTGAGGCTAATAGGTAATTTTCCACAGTAGCAAAACCTGCCATAAAGAACAACTGAGCAGCACAGTCATTGTATGCCATGATCTTGTTTCCTACTAGGAGTCCAATCATGACTGTGGGTGTGACAGCTGAAGAATAACCAAGATCAACAAGGGAAAGATTACCCAGGAAAAAGTACATGGGGGTATGAAGGCGAGGGTCCAATAGAATTAGAAAGATCATTCCCAGGTTCCCCAACAGGGTCATGGTGTAGATGAGGAGAAAGGTGATAAACAGGGGAAGTTGTAGGCTTGGGTCATTGGTGAGTCCCAACAGTAGGAACTCTGTCACTTCTGTCCTGTTCTCCATCATTGTCTTCCGGCAACCTATTAATGGTCTGTGACAATTAGAAAGAAAAGTAATATGCTAATATTTAACATGAAATTAATTAGTATAAACAGAAGTTATAGAAATGCTTTATAGTAACAACTTGGAAAGGATTCTCTAGAAATCTTGGACTTTGAATTCCAATTTAATGTGCTATCCTATATATGGTCACATGATGTTAACTTAAAACATGCAGTTTAAAATTGGTGTCCATCCTTGTGCAGGGAGTGAGAGACTTTGAACCTCCTTGTCCTAAATAGGATGTTTCCATTAACCTCCTTCCCACAGGGCTCAAGGAACTATGTGGAAGAAGACTAGGAAAGATTATAAAAAGCAGAGGGTGTAGATGACTCCAAGAAAAAAGAATATCTTCAGATATAAGATGACTAATATACATATGAATTGACAAAGATGATAGAAGTATAAAGTCAAACGTGGCCCTAGCTCAGTGAGAGGAAAGTGGATTCACGGTCCAGCTTGCAACCAAGAAACTTTCTCTAACTGACACATACTGGCAAACATATAATCATATTTCTCCAATGTAATCTTACTGGGCATTATCAATCATACTACAGAACAGGTATCATGACCATTAGTAGTTGGTCTAAGTGAAATAAACCCCATGGGTTATTGTGGGGTTTTCTTTTTTTTTCTTATTTGAGGGTAATTTTTGACATTTTTTTTGTCCTACCTTTTTTTTGTTTGGTTTGTTCAGTTTTCATTTGTGAGATGTTGCTTACTTTTGAGAGAAAAAAATATATATATATATAAAAAGAGAGAGAGGATATAGGAGGAGTTAGGGGAGTAAAAACATGATAAAAATATACTATGTAAAAAATTAAGTTATAAAAGAAAAAGATATTTTGCCCATATGCAAACTAATTTTTAAACAATGTAATACATGGATAACAAATAAAATATCTTCCAATTTACTTCTGAGCTCAGTGAAGTTTGACAATTCCAAATTTTTCTCCTGCCAAGAATTTATTTAAATAGTTAGATTGTATCTACTATCTTTTCTCAATGACATGAATTCACAAAAATGATAAAGCAAAGACCTACTCTTTTAATTCAGCTGAGTTAATTATTTCATTTAAATAAGGATCATTTTCTTTACTTGCCTACCTACATGTTTTATCTTGTCTGTTTACTTTATTGTGTACAATGATTGATAAACATACTCTAAAGATAAATCATTAACCTATCTGTCAATGTCATTCATTCCAGATTTTAATCTTCACTTTGCATATTACATGAAGACATTAAGCATATTACTTATGGCAATATACATATATATATACATATATATCAGTTAGAACTTGTTTTGGGCAACTATGGAAGATAATATTTTTACTTTTCAATAAGTCATATCTACCCCTGGATTGACATCAATTATACTTCTTACTGTAAATTCAACTTTATAAGTTGTCTTGAGGAGAAAAATTTATTCACCCAGATCAGGCACACTCAGGTTAATTCAACAATGGAATGTGGCCTAAATGTGATTGCAGGCACGTGCTCTCTTAGTCGTATTCAAAAGATTCTGAATTTTCTCCAGAAAAAAATAGAAGAATGTGCATAGACATGAATCAATGTCCTAGTTGACCATAATTTCTCTCTCCTTCGTGGGAAATGTCCTGTACACCCCATATTTCACAGATTCTAATTGGAAGGCTGAAAAAGAAACTTAGGTGAATTTATCAAGAATACATTATCCATTTAAAAGTATGTAAGTCTAATGTTTACCCGTGAATTTAAAAGTATATCAGTGCAATATTTATCTTTTAATATTTACACTCACCGTGGTTGAGACTTTGAGCTAAACTACTCTTTAAAAGTCTTTATGGTTAACTATTATCACTGAAATAAAAACATTAACCAATGAAGCCTGACATAAAGTTCTTTCCTTCAAAACTGTGTTATGGAGTTGTAGCTGTGTTTCAGAGTCTCCTATACACAGATCTGGTGAAAACTATATAGATCTGACAAACTCTGGAGACTTCCCCTAGGAGTCTACTTGCAGTTTCTGCCCCTATATCATGTCAGGGAAACATAAAATGACCCATGAGAATAATATTAATTACTTTAATATGCACATATCTTTTTGAATTACTGTTTTAATTAGTTTTGAAATTTCAAATTTGTAATGACTTTTTATTTCTCTCACATTTGCAGACATTTTGTAACATATTTGAAGAAATACTCTCAGCAAATAGTTTTAATGAATATTTTATTTTTCTTAATAATAGATTCTTCTCTCATACAATACATCCTGAAAATAGTTTGTACTGTAATGTAAACTAGTGTTCAAAGTAATAAACTTTTTGTTATGACATTTAAGCCCGTTGTTTTTGTTGGTTCACCTCTCTAAGTCCCTTATTTCATCCCCACATACCACTTTATGTTGGCATCATTTCTTCTTCCTCAATGTTCCTTCCTCAGATAATAGAGCTTTTCTTTAATACCTACATCTATCACCATTTCACTTCAGCTTTGGAAATAAAGTTTTGCCAACAAAAGATATGTTCATGCTTTCAATTATACAAGATTCGTCTTTTTCTACTTCCCATGTATATTAGATCTATGTATGTCTCTCTTAGGGTCCTCATTTTTATCTAGATTTTCTGGGATTGGGACACTGGGCTGATTTTCTTTGCTTTATGTTTAAAAACCACTTGTGAGTGATTACATGTGATAATTGTGTTTCTGGGTCTTACTTCACACAAAATGATGTTTTCTAGCTCCATCTATTTGCCAGTAAAATTCAAGATGTCATTATTTTTTTCTGCTCTGTAGTACTCCATTATATAAATGTACCACATTTTCCTTATCCATTCTTTGATTTAGAGGAATTTAAGTTGTTTCCAGATTCTGGCTATGACAACCAATGCTGCTATGAACATAACGGAGCACATATCCTTGTGGCATGCATGCTTTGATATATATATATATATATATATATATATATATATATATATATATATATAGTTAATATAATGACTAAGAATTATAAGTCAATAAGATGACTAAGAATGTTGAATCTTTCCTTTGTTGAGAGTTCTCTGTTTAGGTCTGTACTTCATTTTTATTGGATTATTTGTTCTTTTGATGACCAATTTCTTGAGTTCTTTGTATATTTTGGAGATCAGACCTCTGCCTGATGTGTGATTAGTGAAGATATTTTCCCATTATGTACACTGGCATTTTGTCTTGTTGACCATGTCATTTGCTTTACAGAAGCTTTTTAGCTTCAGGAGGACTCATTTATTAATTATTTCTCTCAATGACTGTGCTATTGAGGATATATTTAGGAAGTGTTTTCCTGTGCCAATTTGTTCAAGGGTACTTCCCACTTTCTCTCCTATAAGGTTCAGTGTGGCTGGCTTTATGTTAAGGTCTTTGATCCATTTGGACTTGAGTTTTGTGCATGGTGATAGACATGGGTCTATTTTCATTCTTCTACATGGTGATATCGAGTTATGTTAGGACCATTTGTAGATATGCTTTCTTTTTTCCATTTAATATTTTTTGCTTCTTTGCCAAAAATCAGGTCTTCAAAGATATATGGATTAATATACAGGTCTTTTATTTGGTTCCATTAGTCCTCCTGTCTGTTTTTATGCCAAAATTAGGCTGTTTTCAGAATTGTAGCTCTGTAGTAGAGTTTAAAGTCAGGAATTGTGATGCCTCCAAAAGTTCTTTTACTATACAGGATTGCTTTGGCTATCCTGGGTTTTCTGATTTTCCATATGAAGTTGAGTACTGTTCTTTCAATGTCTGTGAAGAATTATACTGAGATTTTAATGGGCTTTGCATTGAATATGTAGATTGCTTTTGGTAAGATTGCCATTCTTACTATGTTAATTCTACCTACCCAGGAGCACTTTCTGGTGTCTTCTTCGATTTCTTTCTTCAAAGATTTAAAGTTCTTGTCATACAAGACTTCCACTTGTTTGCTTAGAGTTACTTCAAGATATTTTATGCTTTTTGTGCCTATGGTGAAGGATGATGTTTCTCTGATTTCTTTCTCAGTCCTTTTATCATCTGTGTACCAGAGGACTATGGTGCAAACAAATGCTGATTGGCCAGCTGCCAGGCAGGAAGTATAGGTGGGATAACCAGACAGGAAGTAGAGGCAGGTCAAGGAGAACATGAGAATTATGGGAAGGAGGAAGCCCATTTCTCTGCAGTCCTGGCCCATCCACTGAAGTAGCAGGATGTGATTGCCTCCCTGAAAAAAGTACTGAGCCATGTGGCTAACATACACTATAATAATGAGCTAATATATGTTATAAAAGTTAATAAGAAGCCTGAGCTAATGGACCAATTAGTTTATAATGTTGTAGACATCTATGTGATTTCTTTGGGGCTAAATGGCTGTGGGACCTGGTGGGAGGTCAAAAACCAGGCAGGGCAGAAACCCCAACAAACAGGCCTTCATGTTATAGGGCTACTGCCTTTTTTGAGTTAATATTGTATTCTGCTACATTACTGAAAGTGTTTTTGAGTTGTACAAGTTCCTTGGTAGAATTTTTGGGGTCACTTATGTAAACTATCATATCATCAGCAAATAGTGAATGTTTGACTTCTGATTTCTTCTTTTCCAATTTGTATGTCCTTAATCTCTTTTTGGTGTCTTATTACTCTAGCTAGAACCTCAAGAACTATATTGAATAGATATGGAGAGAATGGATAACATTGTCTTTTTATGATTTCAGTGGGATTTCTTTTAGTTTCTTTCCATTTAATTTGATGTTGGACATTGGTTTGCTGTATATTGCCTTTATTATATTTAGGTATGTTCCTTCTATTCCTGCTCTCTCTAAAACCTTTATTATGAAGAGATGTTGTATTTTGCTGTGAGCGTTTTTGGTGTCGAATGAGATAATCATGTGGATTTTATTTTTTAGTTTGCTTATATGATGGATTATGTTGACAGATTTTTGTATCCCTTCATCTCTGAGATGAAGATAACTTCATCATGG